ACATGCCCAGGTTGTGAGCTCAATCCCCAGGAGGGGGTGTGCAGGAGGCAGCTGATCCACGATTCTCTCTCATCATGGATGTTTTTTCTCTCTTCCTCTCCCTGCCTCTCTGAAGTCAATTAAAAATATATATAAAAATTCCTCTAATTAGCCGGTGATTTTATTGTGGTCTGGTTGGAAGAACTAGACCAGCGGTCTGAGAGAGGCAAAAAGGCACCAGTGTGGCAAGAGAGTCATGTGATGTGTCCGAGCGAGCGGCCCTGTCTCCCTCAGGGGTCTCTCGCAGAAGCTCTATGTCACCAGGAGGGCTGTAGCCCGTTTCTCTTTCTTTCTGTTCCTTAGTGCTGCCTAACAAAGTAAGTGTGTGATTAGGGACGGCTAGTGACCGCGGAGAGGCCCATCACAGCCCTAGACAGCCCGTGTGCCCAGCGCTCAGCGCACAGCGAGCCTGACTCCTCCTGCACTGCCCCAGCCCCCGTGGCATCAGGAAAGTAGAACTCCCCTGGGGGCTCTCCCTTTATTACTGTCCCTTCTTCATACCTCAGCACGTTCCTCTCTGCGCTTGTTAAAGTGAGAGGAGACTTGCTTCCTCTCCCCGAGGGGCTGCCGGTCTCTGGGTTTTCTTTCCCCGGAGGCAGCTGACCTGACCTGGCCAGAGGGGAAAGGGGACTTGGTCCTAGGGTGGACGCTGGTTCGCCCCGTGGCTCTCCACCTGGGCAGCTCTGTCATCCCAAGGGCATTTGGAAGTGTTGCCTGGTAGGTGGGGACGCTGCCTTTATACCCCATACATTTTTTTATAGGTTTTGCTTTTTAGAGCAGTTTTAGGGTCCCAGCAATACTGAGTGGAAGGTACAGAGAGCTCCCATATATGCCCTGCCCCCACATATGGACAGCCTCCCCCATTACCAACACCCCTCCCCCTTCCCCCCCGATGGTACATTTATTACAATTGATGGGCCTGAGAGGGGATGTCAGTTCTCGTGTCCAGGGTGTTTAGTGCCCTGCCAGGCCCAGCGCAGCCCTGGTGGGGGCTCGGCCACAGGCAGGCGGAGCCGGCTGCAGGGTCCTGGCCCATCCTTTGAGGGGATTGGGGCTGGGTATGCTTTGTTGACCTTTATATTAAGGCCTGTGGTTATGGAAGGAGCAGAGGTGAGTGTAGGGGCCTGGGCACGAGGGCAGGCTGATGGGCAGTGGTCTCTGTGACGTGTGTTTAGTTGAATCGAGCAGAACGGTCAGCGGCCCTGGGAGGAGGAGGAAACACTGAGTCATCTGTCATCCATCTGGTGAGTCTAATGAGGTGACTCACCCACTCCTCTCCCCATTCTCAAATTTTTAATGACTTTTTTCTCCTTTTCCTCTTTTCTCTGTCTCCCTCTCTCTCTCTTTCAATCAGATGTTGGATCTTTGGATAGAGACTTTAATTTTCTTATCTTTTCTTTCCTATTTACCATCTCTTTCCTTTCTGTTTGGCTTTTCGGAACATTTCCTAGACTTTATCTCCTACTCTTCTTTGACTTTCAGAGTTTGATGACCATACATCCCAAGGACTCTTTCTTTCTTTTCTTTTTTTTAAAAAATATATTTTATTGATTTTTTACAGAGAGGAAGGGAGAGAGACAGAGAGTCAGAAACATCGATGAGAGGGAAACATTGATCAGCTGCCTCCTGCACATCCCCCACTGGGGATGTGCCCGCAACCCAGGCACATGCCCCTGACCGGAATCGAACCCGGGAGA